AGGCTACAACCCTATCATTCTAACAATGCATAATCTTTGATGGGCAAGTTGTGGGAAGAAAAGATACACTGTCATTTAGCCACAGAAAGTCTCACTGTTATTGTATACAGGTGAAAAACGAATAAAATACCTTCAGTGTTCATCAAGGGAACTCTGTGATGTTGACTTTTCCATTCCTGAAAAAAATGTATGAATGTAATGAATAAATGCAGATTCTATTTAATAGAAGATCTTACAACGTTAGGAAATGTCTTTTTGTGTCAAAAATGCATTTTGAACCTAAAGCAAATGGTTCTCAATTATTCCAAATAACCATCATGAATTTAAAAAACATGCAACCTCCTAATCAATTTTCCATTACTTAAAATCTTTCATTATAAAGGTTTTAAAAGTGTACCTATTTTGGGTCACTCAAAAAAGAAGGGAAAAAAAGAGAAAAATATCAGGCTAATAAATAGCTACCTGCTATTTACAAAACAAGCCATCAGTGCATTTTTTTATTCTAAGGTTACACAGAAATAAGGTTTTATATGTGAGTGTTACTGCAGGATTTTCCAGGACATATCCTCATGGTATAAAATATATGGCACGTATAAAAGAGGCACTCTAAACTCTAGACCTAAACCCCTATTTTTATAGTGTTAAGAAGTTGAAAGATCTTCTAATTTATCCTTCATGTCTGTTAATTTCCGGCAGGTCTTTTCCTCTTATTTTTCGGCATCTCTCTTCTGTGTGCAGCCTCAATTATACTGGTATCAATCTGAACATATACCAAGGTCCTTGCTTCCTTACTGTGAGCTCAGTAACTTTACTTTAGCAAAGTTTTTTTTTTGTTTGTTTGTTTGTTTTTTTTTAAATATGTGAATGGAAGATAGCACAAGCATCAGAGAGTACACATCTTCTAGCTTTTTGGTGGTTCCTCTTTAATTTCTCTCTTCCCCACCTCTACAGAGAAACCTGAAGAACCAACCATATTCTTAGGAAACATGGTTCTTCCCATACATAGGCACCTCCAAGTCTCGGTTTTATTCTGTAAGCCAACTTGTCAGAGAATCTTTTTCTCTCACTAGGTGCCAGACGGCATGGTTCAAACAGGAGAATGACCCTTTCCTCTTCATATGAAAATCTTGGCCCTTCTTGCTTAGCCCATGCCTTGCTTTGCACATTTGGATTCCCTGTTATGCTATCTTCCTAATATGCACTACTGATTACAGATCTCATCATTTAAATTTATAATTCAACATAAACTTGCTATAAATTTGTGTTTGAGTTATCTTGTTTCAAATATATAACAATATAAAAAATTGATGCTTCGTTGAAATAGGAGTTTATAAATTGATCTAGATGTCCAACAGGATTGGACAAAAATGCCCTTAGATTACAGGGAAATGAACTCTAACCAATGTAGCCTAGCTAAGAAATCAGCTAGGAAATCTCAGAAAACAGTAGAAGATGATATTGTCAAACTATAGGGATGCAATATGCCAACAACAACTTGCAGGAAAATTGTATATCACAATAGAAATGGGTTAATGATGCAGCAATTATTGCCAAGAAAATAAATTTGAAGTGCTGGGTGACTAGGAAATTCAATTCAAAGTTTCAGATTAAAAAGTAGATAGTAAAGAGCAATGTGAAAATGCTAACGAGAAGTGTATCAGGGAAAAACTTAGCATGTCTGACTCCATATTGCTTCTGTTTATTTTGCTGCTGTGACCTATAGCTTAGAAATTTCTGCTTAGTCCTGCACATAGGCATGTTACAGTTAAGATCTGTAAAAATTGATTTTTACCCCAAATCTACCTCTCCAAGGAGATAAGGAAATACATATAGAACTGACTACGCTATGTTTAAGAAATGGCATGACCAGATTTCTGTATGTAAAGATCAACTGACCATGGACAAAGAAGTTATGCAAGCCTCCTGGGATGTCTGCAGAGGTCAGTCACCTTTTGACTCCAACCTCCCCTTCTACTTCCCCCTTTTGCTAACATAAAAGAAGCCTGAATTTTATACCAGGGGAGATGGTTGGGACAAGAGTCCACCATCTCCTCAGTTTGTTGGCTTTCCAAATAAAGTTACTTTCCTTACCCCAACATCTTGCCTCTCAACTTATTGGCCTACTGTGCGGTGAACAGGAGCTTGGTCTCCATTACAGAATTACCAGAAATATGCAGATTAATTCCTTTTATCTTTGCTCAAGTACTTATAAACAGCACCATATCTTTATATTTATGCTTTTATTAATAAAAATACTCATCCACTTTTAGTACTCATTATTTATTAGTGAGAATCTCATTTTAACTTTTTTAAATTTTTTTTTTTAAAGATTTTATTTATTTATTTGAGAGAGAAAGAGAATGAAAGACAGAGAGCATGAGAGGGAGGAGGGTCAGAGGGAGAAGCAGACTCCCTGCCGAGCAGGGAGCCCGATGCGGGACTCGATCCCGGGACTCCAGGATCATGACCTGAGCCAAAGGCAGTCGCTTAACCAACTGAGCCACCCAGGCGCCCCTCATTTTAACTTTTTAAAAATTGAGCATTTCACGTTGTAGTACGAAAAACTGTCATGACTACAGTTATTTTGAAATAGAGCCAGAGGGGCCACTGCAGAGAAAGCGCTTTACCTGTCTTTCTTTGAACTGGGCCATAAACTTTGGACTAGGAAAAATGGCAACTGTTCTTAACAATTGCAAAATGGCAACTATTCTTAACAATTGTTCTTAACAATTGCAACTGTTCTTAACAATCCCAATGGTCTGAAATTTCTGAAGATAGAATTAGTAGCCAATCAATGTATAACCTAAAATAACTTAACTCGTTAACACCCACAGGAAACTTTTTTCCCCCCTCTTCAACTCATGTAATTGGCTCTCTTTCTTTTCCTCATAAAAACCCTTGCTTTTACCCTACAAGCTGGACACTATTTGAGTTTCTATGATTCTGTGCTCCCTGAATTGAAATTCTTTAATCCCAAATGAAATACCTGCTTGCCTCTCATTGTGGTTCTTATTTTCAAGTTAACGGTAGTTTTTTATCAAAAATTTCTTCATTGCACTTCAAAAATTGTACTTGTAATAGATAATACATTAATTGTTAGTCTTGGATTTTTTTTTTTTTTAGTCTTGGAATTTTTTTATGCTGCTTCAATAGACGTAGAAAAACAGTAATGGATTGTTTTAACATATGTCTTCACAGCCTTATCTAGTCGATCCATTCTTTTTTCTCTCATTGTACTTCACTTGTACTGGATATTCATATTCAATTTTCTTCGTTTATAGAATGAATTTACACAAACTAATTGCTAATGTGAGGGAAAGCAGTATAGGCTCTGGAGTCATATGTATCCCCAGCTCTGCCACTAATTGGGAGATAGTGAACAAGAAACAAGATTGGAAGTTACTTGCATGTACATGAAGTATTTAGGTCCTAGAGAAACTGAGAACAATCACAACCAAAAAAGCAGTTATAGATATCTTCATCAGAATAGAATATGGACATTCATAGGCTAACTAGAGAAAGAGAAAAACTTTAAAAAATTCAGTTGCGGGGCGCCTGGGTGGCTCAGTCGTTAAGCGTCTGCCTTCAGCTCAGGTCATGATCCCAGGGTCCTGGGATCGAGCCCCGCATCGGGCTCCCTGCTCGGCGGGAAGCCTGCTTCTCCCTCTCCCCCTCCCTCTGCTGGTGTTCCCTCTCTCGCTGTGTCTCTCTTCAAATAAATAAATAAAATCTTAAAAAAAAAAAAATTCAGTTGCTATAGAAAAAGAGCTAAACTAAACATGTGGTAACAAAATGAAAATGCTCTTTAGAAAGATGAGTAGGAAAGACTAAAGAGTATAAAGAGTGCTCTTTTGCTTAGCAACAAAGTAGTCTTCAGTGATCTTGGCAAAGGCAATTTCAGTGTAATGAGGGTGGGGGTGGAGCCAAGATGGAGTGGTGGAAGCCAGAGGTGAGGAAAGAGAAACATTTTTTCCTGAGCATTTGTTCACTCAACAAATATTTAGCCCCTACAATGTGCCAGACACTGTGCAGGCTCTAAGCATATAATAGTAAACAGTTCTCCCTGTCCTTAATAAGCTTAGGCTGTGGAAGAATATGTTTAAATGCCAAGGGGTAAAACTAATGATGTAATGTATGGGGATTAACAAAAGAATAAAAAAAAAAAAGAAAAAAGAAATAAAAATAAAAAAAAAATAAAAAACATTAGCAAAAAAAAAAAAATGCCAATGGGGAAGAATAAGGAGAAGTTGAAAATATGTTGAGAGAAGATATAACTAATGATAGGAGGTGAAATGAAAGTGGCCAGAATCCGGAGCCAAGGTGGAGGACTTCACTTAGGGACAAAGTACAGTATTTCTGAGTTGGGTGAGGCTAGGGTAAGAACAAGACGGGGATCTAAGCCTTACTAAGCATTGTTTCTTTAAATGGACAGTTCAGCTCCTGAGCTCAGCCTCTTGTCACCGCTGGTTTACGCATGGTATGTGAATACAGCGGTGTGAGGGAAAAGAGAAGGTAGGCTATCAGAATGCTTCCTGCTAAAAAAAAAATAGTTATTTTAAACATAGTTATTTCCACCTGCAAATATGTATCTACAGCGGATATTTTAGTCCAAATTAGCCTTGGAAATATTTAGGTAATTATTTATTATACCCTGTCTTTGCATTGAGGTGGGTTTCACTTTCATCAAATGATCGGAAATATAAATCAGAAATTAGCAAGATTCACATTTAATAATACGTCTTAATTATATCCCCAAGCTATAGCCCCACAGACCAATGAAGAAGTTAATCCAACCTATCTAAAAACAGCATTACTCATTGATGAAATTATTTCTTTGTAAAATATGCATTTGGGTGATTGCTTCTGAGGTAGAAAACTGGGGGTTATAGGAAGTGCCGGGCCCACAGGAGCTTCTAATCTCAAATCCCGCTCGGGGTTTGGAAAAGACTTTTTATTGGTTACAGGATTTATGAATCGCCCAGCGAACCGCCCCTGCATCCGCCTCCCGCGCCTTCAGGCTGGACCGCGGGAGACTGAGCGGAGGCAGGGCTGAGGGGAGCCGCGAAAATTCCTGGTGGATACTGTACCACGGCCTCATCCTCCCCCTGGCCCGCACCATCTACCTATAATGCGAAACTTCCAGGATACCTTACGCCTACGAACCATCATGCATGCAGTTCGTCCTCCGCGGGTCTGGGAGCAGTAAGTTTAGCCCTAGAGACCGTGTACGCATGCGTGAGAACGGGGCCGCCGCGTGCGTGTGACGTCACGTGCGCGCCCTTCTAAACTTCCTTGTTTTTCTCTAGAGTGTGGGTGAGTGAATTTATAAGTCGGTGTGGGAGTTCGTTGCGTGGGTGTGAAGTGGTTTGGCTTGTGAACGGGTATGACAAAGAGACTGATTTAGTTTAGATCAAAATTCGGTGTAGTTATTGCAGAAAGACTCTTCATATTTGTCTTTAGCGTGAGCCTGCTGTGTTCAGTAGCTTGCTTGGCGTTTTGTGAGCCTCTGCCTGGAGTTAGTTCAAGTCCCCGCCCTCACGGAGCTCAGCTGGCTTGGGGAAGGTTGATGCTCACACATTAAAATTTAAGTTTTGACACTAGTGCATGTCCCACTCGAGACGTTTGAGAAATGAGATTGAGACTACAAAGCACAAGTTAGTATCAGTTCAGTAGTCCTCGAGATTGTATAGGGGCTGGAGGAAGGAGACAGCAGATATATTTTGGAGTAATAACCTTTTGGTGCCCAATTTGAGTACACACTGTTAACAACTGCTAAGGGATTAAAAAAGAAAACCAAATTTTTCAGTCACCCTCCCCTTCCCCAGTAGCTTGTACATTTTAAAGCACAGTTTTGATAAAGGACATTGTCAGTGTAGTTTTCACAGATCCTAAAACTGGCTTTTAGAGGTACTCCTTTAAGTAGAAAACTAAATAGAAAAGGCTTGAGTTTCAATGTCTTAGGGGAATGCATGTATTGATCCTTGTTATAAAATTACAGAATAATCCACTCTACCCCTAAGAGTGATTACTAACCAACTTAAAGGAAAGAAAAAGCAAAAGTCAGTCAAAGAAGCTTAAAATTACGGACTACACTTTGGGTAAAACACTGGTCTTTGTGTTTTCAGCAGCAAGCTGTCAACTGCTCTAGTGGAATTTGCTTTGGACAACATTTTGAAGCAGATCTGATATGCCACTTGAATTAGTAAAAGAAGTCAGTGGAGTGCCTGAAGTTGAGCTGCTAAGTGAATTAAACAAAGTAGATTTCAGTTCTCTACAGCCAGGTTGTGATTATAGCAAGAAGTACATCCAGGTAAGAATCTTCATAACTCAGAATGTTTTTTTCTTCTAAAAGGAATGCTCATTTTTATGTTGAGCTTATTTGTAAGGGTTGTTTTAGGAATAGTTTTACATGTGTCATAATGTTTTTGACTATTTGAGGCTATTATTCTTAATTATTTAGCGTTCATTTAGCAAACATTTATTGAATTCTTTTGTGATACACTGGAGTAAGTTTTGAGGGTACAAAGATGAGTGAATATGATCCTTGAACTAAAGGGGACTGAATTCTTTTGGGTTTGGACAGTTTACCTAATCTCTAATTATAATTAATAAGTTGGTATTAGAATTGTGGTATGTGAACATTTAGGAGAGAACCTTTGGTTCTGACAAGTTAGGTCAGGAAAATGGAGCTGGAACTTAAAGGATGACTGAGATTATACCTTTCATTTTGGATATAAGCAGTCCTCATGTGCATGTTGAAGAATTTACCCTAAGAACTGTGGGAGACCCATAATAGATTTTAAGCAGGACAAAGACATTATTCACTTTGAGTTCAAATTACTCTGCCTCTTGGGTGAAGAATATATCAGAAAGGGCAAGATTAGAAGAAGGATAATTAATTAGTTAAGACATAGTTACAGTAATCTAGTTTAGAGTTGATGTTGGTCTGAACCAGGGGCAGAAGAGATGATGGGAAGGAGACAGACAAAATAGTAATAAAATAATAATGATAACAAAAGTTAACATTGAGCTCTTTCTAGGAACTAGGTAGTATTTTAAGTGCTTTACATATATCAACTCATTTAATCATCACAAAACTCTATGGATTGGGTCCTATTATTCTTTGGCTGTAAATGAGGAGACTGCATTTCCAAAAGGTTAAGTGATTGGCGTGAGATGCAGTTGATAAGTGTAGAGCTGGTGTTAGAATCTAGACATTCTGCTTTGGAACTGACAAGATAAAGAAGCACAATCAACAGGTCTTGGAGAACGGTTAGATGAGAGAGGTAAAGAGGAGTTCAGGAAATTTCCCTGGTGTTAAGTCCTGTCAACCCTGGGAGGATAATAGGCATGCATTTAAGAAGAAAGATAATGAGTTCAGTTTTGGATATCTTTCAGAGGTTATTAGAGGTATCCAGGTAGTAATGCCCTATAGGCAGGTAGATTTGGGGTTCTGGAGCTCAAAGGATTCCTACTCAGGGAGATTTGGGCCAAAGAATAGAATGAGATGTGTTGAAGGATGTCAGTTGTTAGGAAGATAGCATGAATAAGAGATAATCCACAGGCGTGGGAGAAAAACCAGGAGAGAGTGATGTCTTGTATGTTTAGTAAGGTAAGTTTCAAGGAGTAGTATCAGTAACTCTTAACATAAATTGCTCTCTGGTACGCACTCTCCTAAGTGGTTTACGTATGTTCTCTCTTTTAATTCTTGAAAGAACCCTGTGAATAGATGTTATTATTCCCATTTTATAGTTGGGAAAACAGATACAGGTTAAGTAATTCATCCAAGGTTAGATCCAGGATTAGCTAATAAGTGGCTGAACAGTGATTTGAATTTTCATTGTCTTTCTGTGTTGCTGCTAAATGCTCAGGCTAAGGTCTGAAAAGATTCTGTTTGATTTAATGATCAAGAAAATATTGGTCACTTGGGAAGACTAATGTTGCTGGGTCGGCTTTTTAGTGGTTTGAGGATTGAATGTTGGGTGAGAAAGTGAAAGCAGGAAATGTCTTTCAAGGAGTATGTTGTGTGGGGTGCCTGGGTGGCTCAGTCAACTGGTTAAGCGGCTGCCTTTGGCTCAGATCATGATCCCAGAGTCCTGGGATCCAGCCCAACATCGGGCTTCCCCTCCCACCGCTCGGCAGGGAGTCTGCTTCTCCCTCTCCCTCTGCCTGCTGCTCTGCCTACTTGTGCTCTTTCTCTGTCAAATAAGTACATAAAATCTTTTTTAAAAAAGAAAAGGAGTATGTTGTGGTATTTTGATATTTTGATTATGGAAGTCAAAGTCCTGAAATAGGAGTGGAAAGTTTTTTAATTTTAGCTGAGTCAGTTTTGCATTTGGTTAACAGTGATTGGCTTTTATACTACCTACAATCAACTTCACAACCGCTGCACTAACGTGAAATAAAACAAATTCAATTTTTAAAAATTTATCTGCATTTCCTTTCCTCTTCTATTCTGCCTTCACCCTGTCCCCTTTCCTCCGAAGTACACTCATACTCAAACTCATAGGCCATATTCACAAACTAATTCCTAGAGCAGTTTAACATCCTGAAAAGGAGTGGAAGCCCTGGAGACAGGCTGGCTGGATTCAAGCACAGATCCACCATTTACTAGCTATGTAATTGGGAAAGTAATTTTATCTGCCTGTGCCTTATCTTTTCCATTTGTAAGCTAGGAATTATAATAGAACCTACTTCATAGAAATGCAATGAGGATTAAATGTAAAGTGCTTACTTAATGAATTCTAAGCATTCGGTAAGTGCTGGTTACTGTGGTCAAGATAATGATATCATTAACATGCCTTTGGACAAGGAATTTACCTAATCTCATAGTTCTTCAGTGAACATAATATACCATAATCTCATTGAGCAGAGACAGAATTATTTTGCAGTTAGTGAAGCTCAGGCTTCAAAGACTTTACTTGAACAAGCCCAAGACCATGTTAGGGGTCTTAGAAATGAATTTACATTTTCATATTTGTAAAATTTACACAAGGGGGATGTTCTAACCTAAAATGGTTAAGATTGCTGTCTCTTGCCATTTTGACTTCTCCTTCCATCACATTTCCTGTCTTATCCAGTGGCATTAGAATGGCTGAGAACATTTTTGGAATATGTAGCTAAGGGGAAGTTGACTTGTGGAATAGGTTTAATGAGATGTATTTGTGTGCTTTGCAGTTACTTGCATTTATAGCCAGGATATGCCAGCTCTCCTGGTGTAGAAATGTTTTCCAGGAACATTCCCACACACTGGTTAGTATAGAAGAAAAGTATGGAGTCAGAAGTTGTACCAGGACAATGGAATATTATGCAGCCATCAAAAGGAATGAAATCTTGCCATTTGCAATGACGTGGATGGAACTGGAGGGTGTTATGCTGAGCGAAATAAGTCAATCAGAGAAAGACATGTATCATATGACCTCACTGATAAGAGGAATTCTTAGTCTCAGGAAACAAACTGAGGGTTGCTGGAGTGATGGGGGGTGGGAGGGCTGGGGTGGCTGGGTGATAGACATTGGGGAGGGTATGTGCTATGGTGAGTGCTGTGAATTGTGTAAGACTGTTGAATCACAGACCTGTACCTCTGAAACAAATAATACATTATATGTTAAAAAAAAAAAGAAGATAGCAGAAGGGAAAAATAATGAAGGGGGGGAAATCGGAGGGGGAGATGAACCATGAGAGACTGTGGACTCTGAGAAACAAACTGAGGGTTCTAGAGGGGAGGGGGGTGGGAAGATGGGTTAGCCTGGTGATGGGTATTAAAGAGGGCACATACTGAATGGAGCACTGGGTGTTATATGCAAACAATGAATCATGGAACATTACATCAAAAACTAATGATGTAATATATGGTGATTAACATAACATAAAAAAAAAAAAGTCGTACCAGGGTATGAATATATACTGTCACACCTAGCATGTGGTGTATATAGTTAGTGAATGAAAATAGGTACTGAAACTATGGAATCTGAAGCTACTTCAAGGACAATTGTTAGAAATCTCACAACTTATATAGGAGAGAAACTTAATAGAAATTTTTTCAAACTTGTCAACAGTCCTAAAAATTTACACAACATTACTAATAACGAGTGATGAAGTAAATACAATTGTTGTAAACTATCAATAACAAAAATAATTGTGATTTCTAATTTTAAATATTCCATTTCATATTAAAGAATACGTTTTGTTGTGAAGGAATGAAGAGGAAGGGATGCATTTAAAAAGGATGTTTAAGATTAAAGAGTTAATAACATGGGGGACATTTAATAACACAGATCCACCATTTACTAGCTATGTAATTGGGAAAGTAATTTTATCTACCTATGCCTTATCTTTTCCATTTGTAAGCTAGGAATTGTAATAGCTAAATATGTTATTGTTACTGATCTGTAATTTCTGCAGGATTTCTGTTTTTTTGAAGTTTATTAAGACTTAATTAGGTCACCATGTGGTTTGCCTTCCTGAACATTCCATGCGTAGTTGACAAGAATGTGTTTTCAGCACATTCTGGCCTGGTGATCTATGAATGTTAATGGTATAAACTTGTGTGAGTGTGTTTTCAGGTCTGTATTTGTACTGATTTATTTCTCCTTGTTCTATCAGTTACTAAGAGAGAGGTGTTAATACCAGGTATGATTGTAGGTTTGCCTATTTCTTCCTTTAGTTATGTCAGTATTCATCTATTTTGAAGCTTTTTTATTAAGTGCATATATATTTAGGATTGTTATTTCTTTTTTTTTTTTTTAAAGATTTTATTTATTTATTAGAGAGAGAATGAGAGACAGAGAGCATGAGAGGGAGGAGGGTCAGAGGGAGAAGCAGACCCCCTGCCGAGCAGGGAGCCCGATGTGGGACTCGATCCCGGGACTCCAGGATCATGACCTGAGCCGAAGGCAGTCGCCCAACCAACTGAGCCACGATTGTTATTTCTTTTTGATGAATGGATCTTTTTGTCATTATCAGATGTCTCTCTATCTCTGGTAACTCTTTGAGCATCTGTTTTATGTGGTAATATAGTTCTGCCAACATTCTTAGATGAACTGTTTGGATGGTGTATCTTTTATTTTTAATTTATTTATGTTTTTATATTTTAAGTATCCCTTAGATGGCATGTCATTGGGTCATGCTTTTTAATCCAGTCTGTCAATCTCACCATTTAATTGGAGTGCTTAATTTATATGTAATTTTATAATGGTGTTTAAGTAATACCATCTTGCTTTTTCATTTCCATTTGTCCTTTCTCTGATCCTCTTTCCTTCTTTCCTGAATTCTGTGGGCTCATTAAATATTTTTTCCCCATTCTGTTCT